AATATAAGAAACAGAACTTGGTCTTTCCCAAAGCACCGACCACGGGCAGCCTCTATGAGACGCCTGAGAAAAGTAATACCGTATCTTTCTCATCCCAAACCAGTGTATGACTAAACCACTCACGTGGCTGGAGACGAACAAGAAAACGATCTGTTGCAGTAGATTATCATTGGAAGTGAAATTAGTTTTTGTTTGGTTAGTTGGGTGGTTTTCGTTTTGTTTTTATCATTTCGGAGCGACTGTTTTTAATCATTCTATCGAACTCCGCAAAATATCCATCCACTGCCTTTATAAAGGCCTTCCTCAAAGAGCAAGGCTGTGACACTTGGTTCAAAGAGGCCCTTGGAAATGGTGGGGGGTGGGGGGGACTTCGCGGAGGCTTTGCACCAACCAACCGGAGAGCTCACGGCGACTCGCGCGATTATTGCTCTCCGTCTGGGAGGGCTCCTCCGCCAGGTGGCGGCGGAGAGGGACCAGGGCCCGCCCCCGCCTCACCCGCAGGGAACTTTCCTTCGCTCCGCGCCCTCCGCCAAGGCTGCCGCACAACGCCCGCCGATGTGGTCGCCGCCGCCCCCTCCTGCGCCCTTCCTCGGTTAGTTTGCCCTCCTAGCGAAAAGGGGGCGCCGAGTCGGAACCTCCCTAGACCCTAGACCCTTCGTTTGCCTGATCAACTCCAATCTGGGGCCCGCCGGCCCCCTAAACCTGAAAGGAAAGAGGCGCAAGAATTTGGGTTAGCGGTCGGTAAACTGCTGGTCCTCCGGGTGGACTCTTGTTTTCTTCAAATGAGAGGCAGGGGCCGTCCCGTCGCAGGCCCGGACCTCGGTATCGGAAATCCGCGTCTGAACCCTTGGGGTGCGCGACGGGAACGCGGTTGGCACCTGCCCCGCCTGCGCGTGAGGCGACCGTCTTCCGTCCGGGCTCAGGCGGCGCCCTCACTGCTCAGCGCGAGCCGAGGGAAGGCCAAAGGCGAAACGAACGAGCTAATCTCTTCTCTGACCACCCCCCCCCCAAAAAAAAAGCCAGCCTCATGGCCAGCTTCTAAAAGCGCAAAAGACCTCAGAGTCTCAACAGCGTGCAGAAGCCGAAAGACAACCCTAGAGGGATCCTCCGTTTTGGGAAATGGCGCCCCCAGATGGCTTCCGCGAATCCCACGGAAAGAAGCCCGGGCTAGCCCGCTTGTGGGTCACGCCAGAAGCCGGGGGTGGGGGGCCGGGTCCCCAGCCCCGGGACGAGCGGTGACGTCACCCACCCGGCAGGCCTGCGCGCGGAAGACAGCCAAGAGATGACGCTGGTGGAGACACCCAAGTGGTCTGGACGCGTCCCCAAAGGCCGCCAAGGCCGCAACTGCATCCCGCGGCGGCACGCGTAACACCAGCAGCTCTCCTTCACTGTGTGACCCGCTTCCAGCGGCTTAACCCCTCCGTGCCTCAGTGTCGTGACTGCTCACTTGCAGAGTGATAGTACCCACACCCACATGCCGGGTGGCAGTGAGGATTTCAGGAGGCGGAGCGGGGAGGGGCCCTCAGTCAGTGTGGCAGGCAGCGCGGTGGCCCTTCCCGGCGCTTCCCCAGCCCGCTCCCGGCATGCGCCTCGTTAGCTGCGTCAGCCCGGCTCAGGCGTTGCCCTCGAGGCTTAAAGCCTGCCCGCAGTCGGAGCGTTTTGGTAAGGAGCGTCGAAACGCAGGCCTCCAACCGAGAGGAAGGCCGGTCAGTGGCACAGGCATTTCGCGGCTCAGAAGCTCATTTCCAGTTCAGGAGTGCCCTTCCGTAGCCGGTGCGGGGTTTTGGGAATGAAGAACCCGGCACAGTGCGCACGTGCTTCTCCCCGTTCCCGCTCTGAAGAGTCTGTGCTCGCGCGTAGGGGTGGGAGGCGCCATTTCCCCGGCGCCCCACGGACGCCCCCGCCCCCGGCTTAGAGACCCCAGCCACAGGGCAGAACCCCTGAGCACGACTGTGTGGGAGCCGCCGGCCCGGAGACTTGTAGCTAGCACAGTCCAGCTGTTCGGGAGAGGCCGGCAGGTAGGTTGTGCCTGGAGGCTCTGGAGTGCCTTGGACGACAGGCTGAACACTCAGGCAGGGAAGCGGGGCCAAATCCAGACAACGGAGGGTCGACGCTCTTCTCCAGGCCTGCAGCGTTTGGATAGGATGTCGTTCACTGTGTGTATGTGGCGGGCGCTGGACAGAAGGACGGTGGCCAACGCCAGCACCGGGGATCCACGGGCATCCCCCTTACTCCGGGTTTGGATGTCTACAATCTCCGTTCCTAAAATGAGCTAGTACTAAATGGTCGGGGCGGAGGGTCGGCGTGGGAGTGGGGAGTGCGGGGGGTGCAGGTGCTGGCTCTCGGTTTGTAAAAGCAAAAGCCTTTTTTTTGCTGTTCATAGGCGGCAAGGCTCTGAGGAGGCCCGAGGGCCAACCCGCCGCGAAGAGTCCACTGAGCGAAAGCGGCCCCGCGGGTGTGCACCACGTGCGCGCATCTCTCCGCGGTGACACAGCGACCCCGGCTGGGGAGGCGCGCGGGGACTGTCACCCAGCATCGGCATCCGTGCGGTTTTCACAGACGGAGGGCCTCGCTCGTGTCCTGACCTCTGTAGGAGGTGATGTTCCTCTTCCCGATCAGTCCTCTGGTGTCGTGGGCGCGCCTGGCACGCGGGCACGCGCTTGGCCAGGGGTGAAAAAAATTGAAGGGAAAGGGAGTGGGGCGCGACTCGACGTGGGGAAGGAAGACGCAGCCTGACCTGCATGAGATCGAGGCAGGGTGGCGCGGGTGCGAGGAAGGCTCCGCGGGCCTCGGAACCTGCCTGGCCGAAGCTGGGCGCCCCGCGCGTCAATGCTGGAGATTCCAGTGCGGCTCCCGGCGCCCCCTGGCGGCGAGCGGGGCCGCGCGGGCTCCGGGAACAATGCCTCAGGCCGCGCGGGCAGGCGGGGCGCCTCGGCTCCCGGCAGCTCCCGGGTGTGCGACCGTGTCCCGCCGGACACAAGCCAGACCGGCCTCGGGCCCTTAGGTCCTGCGCTAGGGGGTCTGAGGGGCCGAGACGACTCCAAGGGAGGGCTTTGGAGCTGGGGCGTGGGAGGCGAGAGAGCCCCCTTCCCGCCCCTGGGCCCAAGTCCTAGCCTCTCTCTAGAGCTCAGGCTCTGATTAATTGCTTGATTCGGAGTGCTTGCGTTTCATGTGGGGTTTATTTTCAAAATCGTTTGTGTTGGGGAGCTTTAGTTAGAAACGAAAAGACCCAGAACTGTTTCCGCGGAAGAGCGGCCTGCTGCTGCACCCCCGGCCCTTGCGCCACGGAGCAGCCGGATCAAAGGAAAGATGGAAGCTCGACTTGGGGGGACGCAGATTCTTGGGGACCAGAAAATGCTCTCCGTCCAGGAGGCGGTTTTCCTGGTGTGTTTACGGCCAGGAAGGGATAGGAGGTGACACTGAGTGGGCTTTCGCCACCCCTCCCCTAAGCACTGGGACCCCAAAGCAGGCCGGACGACTTGGACCCCGGAGGCCGCCTAGGCTACTGCACCTTTCCGGAAGGAGGAAAATAGGAAAGCTTCAGGCAGAGCCTGTGGATAGCTCCTAGAGGCCGGGAAGTAATAACAATGAGCTACCTTACATATGAAAGAACCTTGGCGGGGTCGTTCTCGGAAGATAATTTGTTTGAAACAGCACCACCAACCAGCCTAAGGAGGCTGAGGGGGCGGAGACGACCTACCCTCAGAGGAGACTTGGGTGATTCTGGGACAGGAGCGCCCCCCTCCCCGCCCCACCGCACACACTCATGTTCCCTCTCCTAGCACCCAAGACCCAGTTTCCAGCTGTAAACTTACTGTTTGCAGTCCTCAAGGTCAGTAGAGCCCTAGCTCCACAAGAGCAAAGGCCGACCTGTCGGTTCACCTCTGCACAGTGCCCGCTGGCGGGTGCAGGGTGAATGTACCAATGTTGCCAAGGCCACGACTAGCGCTGGTGGATCTCCAGGCAGGGCTCCTTCCTCTGCCCCCCCTCCCACCCCTTCCCAGGCTGTCCACCTGGAGCGTTCTCTGCCAGTCCTATGGGCCCGGCACTAGTTTTTCGGTACCGGGCCCACACTCCGGCTCTCCTGAGCGCCGCACCGCAAGGGCCCGTGTGTGTTAGGGTCCGCACTACCTTCGAGAGTTGAGTCATCTCTTTCATTGGGGGGGGGGGGGGGGGGGGGGCGGGGAGGAAGAGGGAGGAGAGCAGGTCTCTTCTCCCAAACCGGGAAATGGTGGGCAGTCTTGTGTGAGCCCGACGAGATTATGCAAAGGCATTTCCCCATCGGCGAAATCTGGATGTGTTCCAACAACGTTAACAACCACTACTGTTTTAGTCCCTTTTCCATGTAAAAGTTTTGCTCACTCAACTTGATTCGTAATTCTGATTTTTAAAAGGGCAGGGGGCAGCACACGGTTGTGACGGTTATGAGCCACGCTGGGAGCCGTGGCTGGAGACTGGAGAGGAGATCAAGCTCGCCGAGGCGGCCTCGGGCGGACAGGTCCCGGGCGCGAGCCGAAGAAGGCACAAAGAGCCTGAGCTCTCGGCTCAGAGGGATGCAGTTCTGCCGCGCAGCTCCCGGGTCCGAGCAGAAACTTCAGGCTGGGGTCAAACAATCCCCGACCGGGACCTCGCAGGGGACAGAGCGCGCTCCCACCGGGACCCGGTGGCGAGGCCGCGCATCGCGCCCCCAGAGGTCCCCCATCTCCCGCAAACGGTGCTCCGCACTCTCGGTGGGGCGCAGCTACCAGGCTTATCTATTTGTTTGTTGCAACCCTGGAGAACGGGATCGGCAGTATCTGAAGTGGGCGGGGAGCCGGGGAGGGGGGCAGAATTTCCCGGGAGCGCGTGAGGGGCATTCTCAACGGGAAACAAGACCAAGAGGGTAGTGACCAACCCTCCTCGGATTACTCTGCACTGGCTCCTCCCTTTCTCCCCCCCCACCTCCAGATTTGCATAAAAAAGGCCAAGAAAACTCGGGCTAGGCCCCAGCAGCGGCTCACTCTGCTCCCCCGGGTCGGAGCCCCCCGGAGCCGAGCTCGGGCTTGCAGCGTGAAGCTTCTCGCCCGCGCAGTCCTCCCCGCGGCCGGCGTTTCCAGGCCCCCCGAGCCTCCCCGAGCAGGGCGAGCAAGCCGGGACGAACGTCGCCCCGGCAGCCTCCCGCTTCCCCGGCTCCGCTCTCCGCCCCCCGGGGGTCGCGCGCCCACGATGCCGCAGGGCCCCGGCTCGCTGCTGCTGCTGGTCCTCGCCTCACACTGCTGCCTGGGCTCCTCGCGCGGGCTCTTCTTCGGCCAGCCCGACTTCTCCTACAAGCGCAGCAACTGCAAGCCCATCCCCGCCAACCTGCAGCTGTGCCACGGCATAGAGTACCAGAACATGCGGCTGCCCAACCTGCTGGGCCACGAGACCATGAAAGAGGTGCTGGAGCAGGCAGGCGCCTGGATCCCGCTGGTCATGAAGCAGTGCCACCCAGACACCAAGAAGTTCCTGTGCTCGCTCTTCGCCCCGGTCTGCCTCGACGACCTGGACGAAACCATCCAACCGTGCCACTCTCTCTGCGTGCAGGTGAAGGACCGCTGCGCTCCAGTCATGTCCGCCTTCGGCTTCCCCTGGCCAGACATGCTGGAGTGCGACCGTTTCCCCCAGGACAACGACCTCTGCATCCCCCTCGCGAGCAGCGACCACCTCCTGCCGGCCACCGAGGAAGGTAAGCCTTTCCTCCCCATCCCCCCGCCCCCCGCTTCCTGCCCCCACCCAGCTCCACTAAGGCTTTCCATGGGGATCTCGAGGCCCACGACGCACGTCCTCATGTGTCCCTGCCAGGGGTACCAGTCTCAGGTGGGGCAAACCTTCTTCTTGCTCTTGTTTGTCCTCGTGACAAGTTTGAGACACCACAAACAGAAACACGCCTCTCATGCCCTGAGTTATACCAGTTGCTGTTTCTTACAGTTTAAAAAAAGAAAAGAAAAAGAAAGCGAAGCACTGAAACGCGTTTTTTCCCCTTAGAGATTCACAGTTACTTTTAAAGAAGGTAGCACTTCTGAGAGCACTGGAAGTGGTCCTGTGCTGAGGAGTTAGTAGTGAGCACCCTGGCCAGAGGCTCCTTGCTCAGCCTCCTGCAACACGTTCTTACCACCGGGCAGGATTCTAGGCACCACACTCCCTGACACTCTGGTAAAGGGAGGATAGCCAAAACGCAGTCTTTTAAGGTACTTTTTGTTCTTTGTCGACTTAGGTTTTGGACATAAAAGCCAGACTGGCCTGCGGAGCATGCTGCAAATTGAGCACTGGTTGTACTGCTCAGTTATCTTAGGAAGAGAGCATAAAGGGCATCTCCAGGCGTCATTTTCCTATCTCTAATCAGCTTATATCCTAGGAGTGGTTTTAATTAACTGGGGGAAATCATGCAAAGAGAGTTTCCCAGGTTTTTAGAAAAGGGGGAAAGTCCCGTGCAAAAAGCATCAAAGCAATGAAAACCTCATGGGTTCTTGATGCTCTTCCTGAAAGAAAAACATACACAGTGTGTCTGAGCTGATTCGGATCCCCCTGAGATGGAAAGGGAGCTCCTTCATCCCTTTAGGGCTCCAGGAGTCTCTCCCCTTCAATCTCTAATTGTTTTCCTATAGCCGTCACTGGTTAGAGAAAATGCACAGTTGTTTAGCAATCTCTCCTGGCAGGCACCTCGAGTTTGCAATCATCTTATTGGTTAGATTTCTAATTTATTGCAAATGTTTGGCATATTTCAAACATTTGTCCAACATATACCACAGACCAACCAATACAGGTTAGTAACATTTTATATACATTCCTAGAGCTCCTAATTGGAAATGTTTCATTTTGTTTGAGTGAGGGGAATTAAGGACAGTTTTATGTGTGTTACTTTTGTTTTTATTTCTTTCCACCACCAGCACCATTATAAAGTACATTTCTCCAAGTCGCCTTTTTCCCCCTTCAAAATAAAAGTTTATGGTCTTCAAAATATGCTCTGCAGTGTTTCTAATTTGATACATATCTCTCGTATCTTGAGTCACATGAAGTTTTTTTCTGTGAAAATCCAGTTTCATATGAATGAAAATCAAATCCCTCCTAAATTTTAGACACAGCACTAGCACAATTATAAATACAAAAAAGGGAACAGTATGTTTTCTTTTTTCCCCCCAAATCAGACTCTTTTAGAAGAGCCTCTAGCATGTTCTCTGATCGCTGTGCTAGTGTGTATTTCTACATTTGGTCAGACCCCCAGAGACAGTTTGCTTCAATTATGATTCACTTCAGGAAAAGCTTTAGGTTTTTTGCTTGGTTGGCTGTGTTTTGGTTTGGGGTTTTTACGGGGGTGGGAGATTGTTTGTTTCTGACAGTTTGAAATGGAGAAAGGGGCAAGAAGAGGTTCTGCACCAGGAAGGAAGATAACAATGAAATAAAAGCAGCTTCATTCAACCACAAACTTGACAGAAAGCACAAGCGTGATACAGAAGCAGTTAGAGCACGCTATTGTAGTTACCGAGGTGTGTTTCAAGGTGGGAAGAACCCGTAGGTAACCCCTACAATTCTAGCTGCCTCTCCCTGTCCAGACCTGATAAAGGGTCTTTAAGTGACCTTCCTGAGACACAACTCTGCTGAAGAGCCCAGCAAAGACTGAGCTGCGCTGGTGTCTTTCAGCCAAAAAAAGACCATTTTTTGGCCATATTTTGTGGAAACCAATTTTCCAAAACCCCTCAAGATTTCTTCTGGTGCTTTCTCCTCAGAGAGGCTTTGGGAACAACTCTGAATTTCAGAGACAGAATTTGTCTCAGGAGTGAGGAGGAAGAGCTATAAAGGTGAAACCCAGCCCAGTTAACTGTACACTGCACCCACCACACGCTTTTGGTGGGGGGCGGGAGGGTGGACCATCATTTATCAAACACAACTATAGGCATTCTTATCTTGCCCATGAGAAAGCAGGAGTCATGGAAGACTTTCTTGGGAATGAGTGATCCTTTTTCAAAGAGGCAGAAGCTGGGGTCTTACAGAACAATTGCTACTCTGGCCTGTATAAGCCCCTTTGAGTTGTTTACAAATGCCACCTGCTGTTCCCTTTTAAGCAAGCTTTCTAATTTTTCACATTTCTAGCTCCAAAGGTATGTGAAGCCTGCAAAAATAAAAATGAGGATGACAACGACATAATGGAAACTCTTTGTAAAAATGATTTTGGTAAGTAATCTACCAACAGCAACAAAGAGGTTTCACATTCAAAAGCTTTATTTACAGTACAACTTAAAGGTACAAATCATTAAGATGTTACTGGATAAGACTTGGGTAAAATACCATCATAGCTGATCTTTCCCAAAGTCATCTAACTTGCTGTATCTCAGTTGCCTCCCGATAAGTCTCAAGTAATGAGACTTATTCAAATTAGGACTTTTGAATGGGAAATTTTTCATTTCATTTTGGCTTTTTCTTGCCAATAAGCATAATCTTGGGCCAGGTGCTTTCAGTCACTTGATATGTGTGCCAGGAATTAAAACATGTAAGCATTAGCCCCAGCAAAAACAGACTGAAGGCATTAAGTTAGCCAAAAATACAAATTTGCCCCAGCATCAAATAGAAATATTTTTACCTTGTTCATAGCCCATAATGCTTTGCTTCTCTGCATTCCATCACTAGTGACTATATCCAAGGTATAGGATAATAATTTGGGGGAGGAGTTCCTTAAATTTGAAATGAAGAAAAAATAAAGATTAGGAATTTACTTTGGCAAAATACATGAAAGATGCTATGATGACGTAGTGCTTGGAAATAATGTGTGACAGGTTACCCAGATTCACGAGTGTAGGTCACTACCCTTAGGAGAGTATTGTAAGACAAAAGAGGGATGGATACTGTCCACACAGAGCTTCATCACCACCTGTCTGCTGTCCTCAGGGCGCTGAGGTGAGGGCAAAGCCCAGCTAGACACCGAACCAGTGCTAACTTTGGAGTCAGGAGTAGCCATGAACTTCACCCAGACATTCACTGGGGACATTTGTGTTCATCTCCAAGAGTAGGCACCTTTTGATGTGTTTGAGAGGCTGGTACCCTTAAAAAGTATTTTTTCAGGCAGAAGGCCGGATTTACTGGTGAGCAGATATGATCCCTGCTCTATCAAACAATAATGGATTCTAACCGATCCGTATTAACATTTCTATATACTCAACAAAGTCCCTAAAACCGAGAGAAATCACTTCAGCACCCACTATTGGGAGCTACCTTCCCACTCTCTCCTGACAACTTACCGTCCCAGCAATCTCAGACCTGGCCAGGTCCCCGAAACTCTGGAAGCAGTCCAGTCCCTGTTCCTCACAATACCAGGTCTCTTCCAGAAGTGTCCTGGGTTTAACCTTAGCACATCTCAGATCAGCCACAGCTTTAGGAAAAACTTCACACTGCCAAGGAAGAGAAAAAGAAAGGAGGCAACCCTGAGTCCTAACCAATCTGTCCCCTCAGCAAGAACCACAGAAGGGATGAGAGGGTTTCATATGTCCATATTTAAATACATACAACTCTAGGCATGATTCCTTTTGCTAAACAAACAATTATAAAATGTATTAAGTTTTTTTTTTTTCTTTTACCTTAGCTATTAGGAAGCTCAGAGCAAAGCTTTAGTTTCAAAGTTTATCTTTTTGCAGCATAATTTGGTTTTGAGTTTGTTGATTTTATTTGGTTTTGCTTATAATATCTACTTTCTCTTTCTCACTTTTTATTTGAAACTTTGCATTTCATTTTGTCATGTGTCTGGTACCTAATAAGCACTCAGAAAATATTTGCTCACTATGAATTTTTGCATTTTTGCTGAAATGTGGCTTAAGTGTTCTTCATAATTAATTGAGTAAAAGTATAAACAAAGAGGAGATTAAGTACGTACATACTTGAAAAATGTATAAAGTGAATAAAAATACTTTTACACATGAAATTAAAAAAAATAATAAATAAATACATACATACATACATACATACATACAACTCTAAGTAGTAGAGGGCCAGGCAGGCATGTGGGTAGCAGCACTCTCAGGTCCCCAGAGCCTTACCAGACACACTTCTGAGCTTCCATACTAAAAGATTTGATTAAAGGCAAAAAAGAAAATTGCAATTTTAATAAGATTTACATTAAAATGTTTCTAAAATGTCATTTTCTTCTGGCAGCTTATGTCCTCTGCATCAGATATAATACAGATCTCTGTCCTGACTTTCCATGAAAAAGTTTTATCATGGGGCTCTAAAATGATTGAAATGTAGGCATGTACACATATACACACACATATTAATACTTGCTTTATGACTTCCCTTACAGAAGACCCCCTTCCTAAGGATGCTCTATCAAGACCTAGCCCCTCCTCCAAACAGAGTGTGAGAGTGTGTGTATGTTAGGGTGTGTCCTAGTGTTCTCTCTCCCTAGAGAAAGCCTCTCAAAACAACATGCATATCACTGCACGTAAGGTATCCCACACACATTACCTCACAGCTTTGTTTTCTATTTTCCCACGTTAATTTCGTCCCGAAAGGGATAATGAACCTTGAATTATAGGAAGTGCGTCATATACTCCTGGTTTATAAGCAGTATTCTATGTTGCCTCTGTACTTTGGAAAGTGATGGAAGGGTAGAAAGAACAAATGTAGAAATCTGATTTAACTTAAATCATCCACGAAAGCATCACACTCTTTTCCCACTGCACTCCTGAAGAACAGGGAAAATACAGAATGCCTCCTTATTTCAATGGTAAAAGTAATGGTATAGAAAGACTAGCCCAGACCTGCCTGCCCATGCATACAACCTACTGATGGATCAGACAGTATCATTACCTCTGCCTCCTACCACTTCCTGCATCCCCATTCCTATATTCCAGGGCAGGAAAAGTTATTCTGGGGCTTTGATTCCCCACATTTGGTCTCAGCTGAAAATCCAGGGAGGAAATGCCTGATCCCATGGTAAGCTTCTTCAAAGTTTATTATTTTATAGCTAGGAAAAGAGGAGTAGTAAATTTTCCCCCTGGGTAAAAGTAATGGTTTTCTGATATTCAGAGATCAAGAATGTTTAATTTGACCAGGTGCTCTATCACACATGCTCTATCTGTGCTTTAGACAAAGCTCCAGGGTAACATATAACCACTTCTCCCACCATGTATCCTTCCCATCCCCAACCTCTTATGCAGAGGCTACAGGAACATGTGATCTTTTCATGTGACTTATTCCATGACTTAAGTCTTATAAAGCCTAAGAACTCAGCTCTACGGTTCAGATGCACATCAGACAAAATAATGGCCATATCACATCATCTTTCATTTATCTGGTTAAGCTTCAGTCATTTCTTGGTGGGCTGGAAAAGCCACAGTTAGTCAAATTCCCTTTCTGAAACAGAGAGAGAGATCCACAAAGTAGTTACACACACACACACACACACACACACAACATCTCTCTCTGTTACTAATAATATATTGGACTCCATCAAAGTCAGGAGAAATGTCACTGGCACATCATCTATACAGTACACTTATCAATGTCATTAGTAGTCTTAGGACACATTACAGTTGGGTATGTTAATGTGGTAACCTGGACCAGAAATTTGCTACTGCCTTAAGAAGTCACAGTGGTGTTAAAGAACGGGGTTTGGGGACCAAGTTCTGAGAACTAGACTCAGCCAGGACACAACCTAACCGGGTGACCTTGTATAAGTTATTAACTTCTCTGGATATCAGATTGTGTATCAATAAGAGATTTTAACTGGATGATCCTTTCCAACCTTAAAATTTTACCCTTTCCCTGCCTTCATGGAGTCTTAAAATTCAATTCTAGCATGTATTTTTGTAGGGTTTTCTTTCCCAAACCAGACTGTTCATGACTGTAAAATATGTCTTTTATAGTAAACCACTTACTTTTGGTCTTAGTATTCTAGTGAGTCTACAGATCCTCTTTGGAAACGGTACATATATGATCTGTAAATGCCTTGGCCAGGCAAATGATAGCAGATGAGAATGAGATCTTCAGAAAAACACTTTTACAGCTAAACATGTTGTGCTCTTAGAGTCTTGGATATTTTTTCTCTTAGTTGCTTTACCAAATCAAATGCAGCTGTTAAGATCAATTCTCCTTCCCTGTAGTCTGTTCTTTAGAAAACAATGATTGTGTGATATAATTTCCTTACAGGTTTGTCCAAAAACCTCTCCAGTGTAATAAATTGAGTTTAAAGTTTATGGCCACAGAAGGATCACGTTTCACCTAAGAGTCAGGCATTTCTTTTCATGCTGAAGTTTCCAATAAGGGAAGTCATTTGTTGAGGAGAGCATGAACCACATGCAACCTGCATACAAACACAAGAACACAAGGGTGAGAAAGAGAAGTTAATTAATTGAGTTCCGCTAAGAGAATTTTGAAAGGATGGCTGACTTGAAATAGAGTGCCTGACAAAACCCTTTGAGGCTTTAGAAATGAAGCCACTTGCTGCCCCCAGCTCCCAGCCCCCCACACCTTAGCCCCTGACAGTCTCATTAGTTGCAGGAAGCCCTTCTTCCTTCCCCCAGGCCAACTGAACAAATATGCAGTGGAAGGGGGTGAGGAAAGCCCCCACTCTATACTGTATTCCCTTACTACAACTCATGTGATTCTGTCCCCTCTCGTCTTCATAGCACTGAAAATCAAAGTGAAGGAGATCACCTACATCAACAGAGATACCAAAATCATCCTGGAGACCAAGAGCAAGACCATTTATAAGCTGAATGGTGTGTCTGAAAGAGACCTGAAGAAATCGGTGCTATGGCTCAAGGACAGCTTGCAGTGCACCTGCGAGGAGATGAATGACATCAATGCACCCTATCTGGTCATGGGACAGAAGCTGGGTGGGGAGCTGGTGATCACCTCAGTGAAGCGGTGGCAGAAGGGGCAGAGAGAGTTCAAGCGCATCTCTCGCAGCATCCGCAAGCTGCAGTGCTAGTTTATCCGCCCCACCCCCTCCCCAGGCCCAATCCGGGCCTAGGCTGACCGTTTTGCTCTGGGTCCTCAGCTCTCATTTCCCAAGCACAGGCTTTCGCAGCTCCAGCCCCAGCCTGGAGCAGCTTCCCTTGCCTTTTGCACGTTTGCACCCCCAGCACCTCCTGAGTTAGATGGCCCTAGGAGGCCTTGGGAAGGGATAGCTGTTTTCACATAAAGGAAAAACCCACGCAAGTCATGTAGAAATGTTCAAACTAATAAAATCATGACTATTTCTATGAAGTTTTTAAATAGCTCACTCGAGTGTTGAATAGGTACAACTGTGACTTGGGTCTGATTCTTTCATTTTTCTGTTTGGTTTGGGTCAGCTGTTTTTCTTCTGCTGAGGTTGCCATAAGGTGCAAATAGCTTCATTTTTTCAATGTGGCCCAAACTGTTGTGGGTCACAAACCTGTTGAGATAAAGCTGGCTGTTATCTCAACATCTCTCAGCTCCAGCCTGAGACTCAGAGCCTAAGTCTTATAATTCACTTGTCATTTTACACCCTCATTGGGAACTTACAACAGTAGCATGTTATTACATTTCCAGGTAGAGTACTTCCATTTATAAGAAGCACATTAACCATCATAGCATGAGTTCTTCAAATAAAGGGCAAACAGACAGATTTTATAATTGACCTGAGTACTTTAAGCTTTGTTTAAAACATTTTTTACTTAATTTTGCAAATTAAACAATTGTAGCTTACCTGTAATATACGTAGTAGTTGACCTTAAAAAGTTGTAAAAATATTGCTTTAACCAACACTGTAAATATTTCAGATAAACATTATATTCTTGTATATAAACTTTACATCCTGTTTTACCTACTGTTTGTCTTCTGTCTTTTCTTCTTAATGGAAGGAAATGGGAAGGGTGATGTACAGAGTGGTCACTTCTCCTCTCCTGAGGCCCAGCCCTCCCGCAGTTGAAAGTATCTGATTCTTAGGAAAGTGTCTCTCCCCTACACCACCTGGCTGCTGCCTTGTGCCTCACATCTTACACAGATTTTACCACTGAAGGCCCTGCGGGGAGGCAGAGATTTGCAGGCTTTGCCAAGGACTTTCCGCCTTTTGCCCCTTCTCAGTGGTTCAGCTGTAGCTATATGGTAATACTACTTTAAACCTAAGGTTCATAAACTTAAAGTGCTTTCCCTTTCCCAAGATTTTCATAATGAAAATAACCATCGTGGGATGCCTGGATGGCTCAGTTGGTTGAGCCTCCGACTTCTGCTTAGGTCATGATCTTGCAGTTCATGAGTTTCAACCCCACATCAGGCTCTGTGCTGACAGTTCAGAGCCTGAGCCTGCTTCAGATTCTGTGTCTTCCTCTCTCTGCTCCTCTCCTACTCATGTTCCCTCCTCTCTCTCTCAAAAAATAAAGACTACAAAAAAAGAAATAACCATTTCAAAAAATGTTAGCTTCTCCACTTAAACTTTAACCGTTTAGATAAAGAGCCATGATTTGAAGAATATCCATTGAAAGGCAGAGGGAGGGAGGGGATAGGGAGAAAAGAGGACAGGTAGACATCCATCCAGAAAATGTCCATCCAAATGCTTCATTATTTTATTTTGAAACCTCCACAGAAATTCTAGTAAATACATGAAGATACTATGGCTCAGAGGGGTTACACAGCATAGTTCATATGAGACAGAGCCAGGGCTAAAACTCAGGGCCTTCAGATGAAAATTCTGTCTTCTATCCCAACTAGGACTGGAATATAGAAACATGGTGGCATTCATCCATTAAGCAAATAATTATTGGGAATGTGCCACATGACTTGCCCTATTCTAAGTGCTGGGGTACACACATTAATCCTTGTTCTTAGGGAGCTGGTATAACGGACGAAAACAAAATAAATGGCCACAGTTATATATTTATAACTTAGCAGTTATATGAAGTATAATTATAGTTAATATGTAAGAGCACTAGAGTGTCCCCATCAAATCTGAATTTTTACTGGCATTTATGTGAAGCCTTTATCTGATAATACTTTATTAATTTACTTTAGAAGTTTCCTGAACATATATCCATGACCTCTCTACAGTACTTAAGCTCTTCTGGCACCAAAAGTCATTACAGCCCACTACCTAGGCTACAGGATTCCTACAATCCTTTCCATTTTTCTCCAAGTTGCCACTTGACTGCTTCTCATCTGATTCCACAAACTTGAGATACAACCCCCCTACTACAAGGCACCTATGGACTAGACCTGAAGGGAGATGCTCATGGATCAAGGCTAATGCTCGTTTAAAGCATTTGGAACAGAAGACTAGGGACCCTATTAAAAGCAAAAAAAGAGAAAGAGAAGATAAAAGACAAATGAATGGGAACAGTAAACCAAAGAATTAGTTATATACAATGCATCAAAAACTAATGGAAAGAAATAATTTGGAAGAAACTGATCTATCCGAATGCTCCCTATCCAGTCCAAAGCCCCTTCCTATATAACAGGAAGCAAAAGCCTCCGCTCTGAAGAACAAGTGAATGCCAGATGCAGCCTCCTTCAGTCATATTTTGAAGAGTCAGCAGCTCAGGCATCATTCCAATGTCTGCATCCTGCCATACGTGCCTCTCTTATGGACTTTCCAACACCTGTTCCCATCCTCAATGAAGCTACGAGCCAATGAGACATGCTTCGGCAGAGCACATAGGTTTTGGTTTGATTTTCCATTTTGTTTTGCATGATGGTTCAAATATATATGAGATATATATTCATTCTTCTTCTTGAAATAATTGTGATTGTATTCTTAATTTTCCAACTATCAGATTTCTTTTATAGGCAAATGAAAACATGAATGTCCATCCATTATTGTAAGAAGAAAGGAAGTGATCAGAAGACACTGAATTTCTGTGTTTCCTAAGATGATGCATGATCTGTTAATAAACTGCTAAAATGTCACAAGTAGATCAGCTGAAACAAAAAAGTTAAAAAATATGGAAACTATGTATCTGCTATGCAATTTATTCTTCCCTTTCCTAAATAACCTGAGAAATGACTTGAACAAATCTATAAAAGTTTTTTGAAGAGCATTTCCTAAGTGCATGAAGGACAAAGTTTCTATCCACATGCACAAATCGTTGTACTGAAGTTCATAAGATTAAAAAGAATTCATGCTATCTAATAGCGCCCTCCATTCCTCATTGTCTATTATGTCATCAAATGATAATTTGGCTGGATTTTTTTCCTTTCAACTCTTATTTACCATCAGGTTGTCAATGTTCTTGATGAGGGGAGAGAATCACCTTGAAATCCAAATCCAGGCACACGATCCCTCATGCAGTTACTACATCTGGATTATGATTGTGATTTTTGCCCATGAAACACACTGCATTACTACAAACTAATTCATTAACTCATCAAAGATTCACTGAGCACGAACTGTCACCATTAATTTATTTGTTCAACAGTATATTGAATGCTTTCCTGCATCTAGACACTGTTCCACGTGGTGGATACAAGGTGATTGATTCTGCCCTCCTTCAGCTTATATTTTGAATTAGGAATTGGATTAGGCACCACAGACACAGAGATGGGTCCTGCCCAAAGTAGACTAACAATCCAATAAGAGGAAGAAGCATGTAAACAAATAATTCCAATACCCTGTGTTAAGAGGGAGATGTGTCCGTGCCCAGGGATGGCACAGAGGACACAGTGGTTAACTCGGGTACAAAACAGAATGTTTGGTTCAGGTTGAGCTTAGGATCAGGGTAAAGATGCTTTCAAGGAAAGAACTTTCAGTTAGTTGCACCAGAACATCTTCTATTAGGATAGAGCCTTAGAAATTCAGTATGTATAATCAGTTTTACATGCTGGCCAATCAACTACAGTATTGTACAATCAACTATGGTATTGTGCAGTTATCATGCTGAAGGTATTATTCGCGACACTACCAGTAAATCTAGCATAAGGTCCATTGCTTTCATAATCCAAAAAATTCCAAAATCCTCAAATTACAAAACAACAGATCAACATTTATCTCAGAAACAAATAGCAATTCAACATAATGAAAACTTTTTGATTCTTAAATATGGAGAACAAACAGAGAGTTGCTGGAGGGGTTGTGGAAGGGGGGACGGGCTAAATGGGTAAGGGGCATTAAGGAATCTACTCCTGAAATCATTGTTGCACTATATGCTAACTATCTTGGATGTAAATTAAAAAATAAATACATTTAAAAAAATTATTTTGAAGCAGTCCAGGACTGTCCAGAGGGTGAGGCAGATAGGTTAATGCTAAAAAAAAAAAAAAAAAAAATTCTATTTTAGTAATTGAAGATAGCAGCCCATACAGACAGTGCTAGAAGAACAAATCAAAGGATTTAAATGCCACAAGATGTCCCAGCACAAAGTAATATTAAGCATTTATTGAACAATCCAGACATTCCTCTATGCTATGAAATGAGCAAAGCACTGGAACTTAATTACTTGGTCCCTAGTAGAAATACACCTAAAAACCTATGCATTTCTCCTGCCTGCATGTGCTCTCAAGTGCACCTACACACAAATGTAGCTCTGGCAGAAAATCTTCTAGAACTGTATAATTTAATAGATATCAAAACCAACCACTCAGCCAACTAAAAACTACAGTACAAGTGGAAAACTCCTTGGGGTAGCTTTTGAAATTCAGAGAGACCTAGGCAATTCAATTATTTTCTGCAAACCTGAGACCATTCAACTCTAAAATAATGAAGAATGACTACTTTATCAACTATGCCTAAGCTTAATACATTCTCTTCTATCCATTCTCAGTTTTGAGATATAATTCTCAGAGCTTATTTCTGTGTAAGGACATGTCCACAGCAGGAAAGAGCACTGGTCTGCAGCCAGTCCGAGTCCTAACTTTTACATCCTCCTCTGTTCCACCAGCTCACCGTGCTTTTCAGGTTCCTGGGCAGGATGGGTTGCTTTAGCTGATATGCATGATCAGAGCCTGAGTGGTAGCAGCTCAGTCAGATGGGAGGAAGAAATGGAGCCATAAATATGATCTACCCCTCCTTTCTTCCAAAGAGATTTTTCCACCTCCAAAGAAAGACTCAAGCACCTCCATGCTGCCCTCGCCTCACTAAGCTTCTCTAACATCAAGTCTGTAGCAACCCTAGAGCTGAGAATTCATTCAATTATTCAATAATCTCACACTGAGCAACCTACTATGTGCCAGGTGCTACCTCAGGTGCTGAGGTTCCAATGATGACCAAGACACAATGAGCAAGCACTCTTAAGAAGCTCATAGTCTGACGTGACATA